AAATCGCATGCTACGACATGCAAGTTTATTTATTGAAATCGCATGCTACGACATGCAAGTTTATCTATTGAAATCGCATGCTACGACATGCAGGTTTATTTATTGAAATCGCATGCTACGTCATGCTGACTCCTTTTCTTCAATCACATGCTACGTCACGCAGATCCATTTATGTAAATCGCAGATTTACAATCCATTCCGTATCAAACACACACAACACTTATTTGTAGAAATGGATATCAGATGCATCAACACCAGGGAACTGAGTCGAGGGTCCTTGAAAATCAGAGTCATCAAGGTAAATTCACCTGCATTCTTCTGGGTCCAGCTTGAACACGGTCGCGAAGACCTCGAAGAACTCCTAGAGGACCTTACGCGTAGAATGGCACGCAGAGGATGACTTCTGCGCCACAATCCTGAGCACGTATTACCTGACGAATTAGTAGCCGTCCAGGAAGGAAAAATATGGCAAAGAGGCATAGTAGTCCGTCTCGAGAGAAGGGAGATGGTTACTGTCGCACTGCGAGATTGGGGACGTACCATCCAACGCCCAATCTCAGACATGCACATATTGGAGGACCGATTTCGCGAATTGAATTGGCAAGCCATCCCTTGCGGGCTTGCTCATCTTTGCCCCGTTGGAGCAAGATCGAGATGGCCCCGGAGAAGTAGGGAGCTCACCAGATTACTACTGGAAAGGAGAGAGAGATGGATGCGAATTCTCAGGAGCATAGCAGATGAAGCCGTAATCACTCTTGAACCGAAGCACGAGAGTGAGGACGAAATGAGCAGCCTAAAAGAATTGCTCATTTCAATGGGATGCGCTCAACATACCGAAGAGATGTTACCAACAATACCCGGCATACTATAAGTTAGATAAGATAAACATAAGATCGCTTCTTTAAGATAATTTTTACGACACTCCTAGCAATAAATAACATATATATAGTTCTTAGAAATAATATATAAGATAAAAGTACAAAATCCTTGAATGTAGTTACAATTATTCACTAATGAAAAAAAAAGGGGGAGGAGGGGGGGAATAAATTTACCTACATACATCTTAGAATAAATTCAAGGAATTTGTATACATTTTTATAGAAATTAACCACATACACATATACATATATAATCTAGCTTTTAAACAACAATTCATCAGTTACAGTATATACGAGATGCCAGGGTGCAACAATCTGTGTCGAACCACCCATGAAAAAGAAATCGAATCTTACATAGTGACCAGAGAACATCACTGGTATGCTTATAAATATCTAGCAAATCTCCGATGTGTCACTACATGGGAGAACCAACCGATGTATCAACATTCTGGTAATCGGTCTAAGATTTACCAAATTTGTTATAAATGCAAGCCTGCCGGTTTAAGATTCAATTATTTACCTGTGTTCATGCATCATTTGGTCCATATGGACTCAATGTTTGAACAAGCAAAATGTATTAACTGTAATAAAGTAATGACCACAACCAGAGAAGCAGAAGAGTGTCCTGACTGCCTCTCAGAATTTCAGTATATCAATGCAAATACCAAGGCACGCTTGGATTTAGGGTGGGGACTGCCAGTGGGCCTAAGGCACTAACATGCCGTCCGATACCTGGCGTTTCGTAAATAGCTTTTCCTTTGACAATACCGCAAGCAAAGGAAAGAAAAATGAACACATACGCGAGTATACATATATACATAACTATACAATTTAAGAATAAGAAAATTATAGGAATCGAGCGACAAAATAATATTAAGAATCGTTAAGACATAAGAACGTATTATGATTTAATTACATATGTTAGAGATAATGAAAGAAGGAGGTATATATATATAAAAAAAA